GATTCGAGGCTTGCCTTGCTGAGCGTGGAATCGGCTAAGCACGGCGCATACAAGTGCAAGTCCGTGCTTCTGGGCAGTTCAAGTGTTAATCATGAACAAACGGGTGCGAGATCAATCGCAAGGATATGACAAAACGACACGTGTCCACTATCTGTCGACTTCCTGCATGGTCACAAGCCGAGGCTGGTCTGTATATGGAAGTGCTTGTGTTCTCAGGAGGTCGCTTGACTTCCAGATATGCGGCTTACCCGCTTGCAAAGCAAAGCGGCGAGAGAGATAAGGGATCAGGAACGGGGAGGGTGGAAAGAACGTGGGAGAAAGTAGCCGCTGGTAAATCGTCCCAGGTCCAAAACAAAAGCAACTGGAAACGATCTTCCGTCTGGACTGCGCACAAATTGATCAATCCAGCCAGCCTGCTCTTGCTGTCCCGCCAGCCCACCAGAAAACTATCTTAAGGGCGACGTGGATGGGTAAAAACAGCGACTTGGCCATCTGGGCAGTGCTGCATCTTGCGGCAGCGCCCTGATCCGTGCCCTCCCCCCCTCTGCAAACCTTCTGGCCAGCAGCTCTTTCGCAGGACCATCCTGCTTGAAGGAGGAGATGCAGACGGTCTCGGCAGACAAGATTGAGCGCTGGACGGCACATGTGTGAATGTGCGGCAGAACAAACGCTGCGCAGCCACAGACTGCGCAAAAATACAATAGTCGGACAAGCATACCCCCTCATCCAACTGTCCACTCGCTTGTTTTCGGGGGCCATCCACATGGCTTGTAGTGGTGTAACACCTCTTGTATGTGTCTCTAGCGCGGTAAACAAGTCATACCCCTAGGAAGAAGGTTGATATGTGTACAACCTGTGTAGGTCAGCAAAGAGAAGCACGTCATACGACACAAACAATTCTATCAAGACAGGAGTAGGCAACAACTGAGGCGTATGTTGATGCAAAGTAAAGCGCTGAATGGTAGTGTTTTTTTGTTTGGACTCATTCAACGATCAAACGCGCACACACACACACACACACTGATGTTGCCACACTCGAAGGGCCGGCGCATGGCAAGATGAGGCTGCATTGGCGCTCTTTCAGTTGACAAAGAGGATGATGTAGAAAACAACATGTTCCTGCGCCTCCCTTGCAGGAAGGAACATGTTGGCACAGCCCACCTTAGGGGCACTGCCAACACCCTGCACGATTCAAAAACCTTCTCAACCTATTCTTCTTGTGTTCAACGTGTTCAAACCCACCCTGCCATTTCTGACCCCAAAGGAATCCCCGTAAACAAAAAACCGGTCTCCCAGGATCTGCTCAGCCTCGATGCGTCCAAGGTACCTCGCCATTGCTTTCTAGCTCCGCAATCTCATCGCCCGGCTTCCTTGGAAATCCCAGGACACCCAAGAGGCCGCACACTTTCTTCTCCATCGCAAAAGAGGAATTGCCGCCCTACGGGCTGGGGAAGATGGTTTCCTTACACCGTTTATTGAAAGCCACGTTTGGGTTCGTGTGCACCTCAAGGGGCTCTTGACTCGCTACCCTCTGCACTCCCTAGAGAGTTGGAGACCTCCAGCGGCGCGGGTTGAGATGCGACGCCCATGGCCAACATGCAACGCCTCTGCCGAAAGGCGCCACGCCCTGCGGCATCAGAAGAATTTCCCACCCCCATATCATGTTGACTCGTTGACTGGGGTCAAGAGTCAAGATGGCGCTTACTCCGAAGGACTGCCGGACCACCGATGCGCCCACACCGCCAAAGGTCCCTTGGGCTCTGCGAGCCCGGAAGATGCGTGGAGTCGAAAGGTCCGTTACATGGGATGGACAGTAGGGAAAACCAAACGATTCGAGCCACCAAAAGGATTCAAACTTCTTTTTTCCACATGGGACAAGTTTCCCATGGTCATTTGGGGGTCAGGAATATTGAACCGCCACCTGCGAGACCTTTGCCAACAGAAACCTCAAGCAACCACCGGGGTGAGGACACATGCTCCTAAGCCAGTTCTCTGATACAGACTGTGTGGTGGATTCCCTCGCAAACCCCTTTAAAACCCTCGCCACAACAAGGGCATTGGTGCTCGCTTGTTAAGACCCAGGCGTGAAAGGGTGCTTGTCATAGGTGGCGTAGGCAGCAGGCAGGAGCTTGAAATCCAGGCCATTGAAAAAAACCAGCTCGATGTCTGCAGCCTGGCGAATTGCGGTTTGCAAAAGTCGCGCAAAAAGACGCGCGCCCAACGAAGAAACCAGTTTGCAGTTGTCTTGCAGGAATGACTGATTTCAAGGACCAGGGTGTGCCTATTCTCAAACAGTCAAGGCCCCTTCTCGGCTTCCGAGTGAGGTATTTCCGGGCTGTTGTTGTGGCCTCTCGCCCCTCGAGGAAAGTGGGCTGGGAAACAACCATTGCACCGAGTGAGCTAAGGCGTGAGGAGGGTGCCAGTCTGGCCAGTTTACTCCATACACCAAAAGCCGAGAAGGCGGAACGTTGAACATTGAGCATGTAAACAGTAACATGGA